ATATATATTTATACGCGTATATAACGCTGTCTGAGTCATATTTCAGCTACTGTGGGCAACATCATTATCGTATACCAACTGATCAGTTGGTGGTGCGTATATAACGCCGTAACCTTTTTCCATATCTCATATACATATATACGCGTATATAACACCATCTGGTCATGGGTAAATGTGCACGTATAAATGCATGAAATACGTTACTAAAATCTCTTGATACATCATAAGGCCATTATGTCTTTGATTAATATCATGAAATAAACTTTATCAATGTACATATTTCTGAGACCCATGAACATATGATAGAATAATATGACACATGGAAGAATAAGAATATACATATCTTTAACATTTCTACAAATAGAATATTTTATGAAAGTGGTGCATTTTCTCGTTTCGTTCCTACGAATAAATCAGGACGTAGCACTGGATTAGGAGACAAAATAAGACTATTGAGGATGCTTCTGCATAGGCATAATGTTTACCATTTCATCAAAGTGGAGATCAAAGACAACATTGACAATATCATTGAACTTGCGTACCTAATTTTCTCTATAGCATAGACAATTCTAGTACTTTTGGTCGAATGTTTGCTAGGAGTCTTTTGGTATTGCCAGAGATTTATATGCCAGTACAGAACTTCTAGGGCTACAGAAACTAATCATTTAGACATGGACAATGAGGATTCATATAGTCAACCCAAACTTGCTCGAGATTGAGGCGTAATAATTGTTGTAGTAGAAAATAATGCAATTATCGACTTCAAACTCATTGAAGTCAGGGAGGAACCCTATACAGCCAATAACAGGATACTCTCACAACTATAAACAACAAAAATGAAAGGGAAAAAGTAAGAAATATATAATTTTTAATATAACAGTCAGTACCTAAATATTGCAGTCTTTCAATGTGCGCATAATGTCATAAATAAAACCCTTGTGATCAACACAACAAATCTGAAGTAATGTATGCGCGGGGCTCATCGAACTATCTATTGTCACACTAGCCCTCTTCAAATTCATCATATCTGGACTAACAGCCTGTGTGCGAAATCCATTATCTGATAGTTCGCACCTAAATAGTTCCTCAGAAACTGATGGAGAAAGAGAAGAGACACATTGCAGGTTGTCATACTGTGGGCCTGCTAACTGAAGCTCACAACTAACTGATTGGCCCAGAACAACATGCAGCTGTTTGTACGTCTCATCTTGCCACTCTTTTGTGTGTAAGAGCTCCGTATCAGAAATAGATGTTATTTGTCTTTTGAACAGGGATATATCATGCATGCTTATTAACATTCTTAAAAGTCAGTTTGATACAAATAAAGCAACATCAATTGAGCAAATACGAGAATAGTTAGTTTTTTTTTCTTTTAAATCCAATAAGACCTACATAATAAATTAGTGAGAGTCTAAAACGAAGAAGCATCATGTAAGCCCCAAGACACTGCAGCGAAAAGTCACAAAAAGTAAACAAAACATAGTATTTCCTATTCAAGACGTGTTAACGGTTAGTTCACTTAAACCAGATTCTCTTTTTTCAAGTTTCATTTTAATCTAGCCACATAGTTAATGAAGCATAAGTCACAATGTTAGAATTGGGGGCTGCCACGTTATGTGGTGGTCAATTCTTATCCAATAATTCCGCTGTCCGGTAATGAACCAATTACCCGTATAATTAAGAATTGTTTTAAATTACCTAAAATTCTACTAATTTTTGATACACTTTATACATCATACTATCATAGTTATGTGGTACCACATATAATAAATACATACACTATTATTTCATTAAAACGTCCAATGTAAAAATACATATATTTTCTCAGCTTATAATTTTCCTAATCTCATATAAAGAGTTAAAATTCTCGTACGCTTAATTCTTAAAATAGTAAAAAAAATAACCTTCTTTTCTTGTGCAAAAATAATTTCTATCTTTACAATAAAAAAATCTCATAAACTTTAATTTTTATATTACGTGTAAAATTTAAAACTTAAACTTTCTTAATATCTCTTTAAATAAAAATATAAAGAGCATGGAAGAAATGGATGGAGTAATTAAATTAGAGATGACGAACAAAGAGGAAGAAACCAAGCTAGTTGTGTCCATGTAAAACAAACTAGATGAAACCATGCAAAGTTTTCATACAGTTAAAGACAAAATTCCAAGTCTTACTTCTAATCTACTATCTTCTTGCATGTAACAGTTGTTTTGTGACATAAAACCGGCAAAACAATTCTCAAGTTTTTACTTTGTGCGGTCCATACATATATACCCCATTGTGTGAGTTTATAAAAAAAATTCTCTCTTTCTCTAAAACTTGTAATGGCTAATTTTATAAAGGAAGAAGTGGAAGTAGTTATAGTAGGAGCTGGTCCTGCTGGTTTAGGTTTTTCAGCTTGTTTGAACAAACTGGCTATAAAAATGTTGTGTTAGAAAAAAGAAGATTGTTGAGGCTATTTATGGAGAAAAAAAAAGAAGACTTATGAGTACAATTTAAATAGTAATAATGGTAACTATCCAAAACTATACTTATAAGACTTTTATTAAAATACTTTACTTAAAAAAAAAAAAAATACTACACTATCATAATATATTACGGTATTAATAAGGTTGTTAAACTTTCGGGGTCTTAATCCCTTCAACCTCATATGGAGAACCCCTCCCCCCTCCCCCATTTCCCCGTCTCTGACCTAAAGCCTAACCCTAGCCACCCTCAAATGCTCCCAATTTCACGGCCCAAACCCTAGCCGCTGCCCGCCAGAAATCATTTCACGGCAGCGGCTGGTCTCCAAACACCTCCATATCTTCACCCTACAACACCCTTTACCGCTCCTTTCCAAATCCATAATTTATTTTCTCCAAATACCCCTCAAACCAGTCAAATACCAAATCTGAAAATAAAAAAAAAGCAGTTGTTTCTTGCATGTTTCATTCCTTCGTGATGTTTTCGTTCGAGTAGTTTGAAACTCACCCCAAATGGTTTGTTCTTAACAAGAAAAATCATTTGAGGTTAATTTTGGGCTATATCGAAGCCCAAGCAGAGAACCACCTCAGCTCTTTCTCTGTTTCTCAAATAGGTACAACCTTGTCCTTGCCTGTTCGTCTAGTATTCTAAATCATGTTTAAGAAAACTAAAAGAAAAAAAACCACATTTGTTGTTTGTTTATCAACTTATTAGACTACTGCCTCATTTAGGCTTTTTATTATTTTATTTTTCGTTTGTTTATTGTTCTTGTTAGCCAATAAGTTAGTCAGTAGTAATAATCAGTCCAATCCGAGTTCGTAACTGTCTCAAACGAGTCTTTGTGGTATTTTATATTCTTTCTTTTGTTATTCTTCCTTTCTTCTTCTTCATAATTGTTTTCTTATTCAGTTTACAAGATTTAGGATTTTCAGTGTTCCAGTTTTATGTGTTTGTTCATCTTGATTATTTTAATATGAATTGGCTTGTTTTAGTAGTTTCATTGCATGAAATTCCTGCCGATTCCATCAATTTGATTCATGTTAGGGTTTAGTTTAATTTAGGTTTTCTGATGCTTAATATTGTAGGATTAAATTGCACTATTTTATTGTTTGATTGTTGTTTTGATTTGATTTCGGTTAATTGTTGGCCCTGTCCCTGTTTGCTTGATTTGAATATCACTAGAAACTTGTAAGGGTCTAATTGAACTAAAAAAAACTTATGATGATTTTCAGAAATTTTAGAAGAAAATATCTAGGAGAAGGAAGGTTCTAAAAGTATACCAGCTATCCAGAATTATTTAAAATATGCTGAAAAATGGACAGTTGTCCATTATTCTCTGTTAAATATGTTGTACTATCTAAGGAATTTAGGGTAGAATATTTATTTGATGCTATTTTGGATATACACTATAAAAAGAAAGTCATTCACTCATTCTCACACACACACTCAGCAGCATACAGACCTGAAAATCGACTAAAACAAAAAATTCAGCTTCCAGTTTTCCTATTTTTCTTTCTTTTACAAAAATCTGGAAGGAATTTTCTTTGAGTTATGGTTTCGTGAGCTAAGTTATGAACTGATACTGAAGCTGTGGTAGATATATACTACTGTTCCTGGAGTTGTTGGACTTCATCTTCTTTTTTCAGAACATTATTTGATTACTTTTTGTTATTCCTTTGCAAGTTAGGTATGTTTACACATCCATATTACTCTTGTTTGAATGCTGTATTAAAAATTTGATTTGTTTATGTCTTAATTATGTTTAACTGCATAGACTCATCATGTGCAATTATTAAGTTCGTTTTGAATGGTCTTCCATGTTAAAGTTGTGATACTATTCATCCTCTAATAATTATATTCAACTGTTTGAACCTAGTATGTATAGTTGCTGAATTGGCCTGAGATTCCCTCTTTGTTAAGCTTTGAAAGTATCAGTAGGTTAAAGTTAGATATTCAACTGGTTAGATGTTAATGGATAGTTTAATGTTTACTGCTGATAGCCGACTAAATACTGAGATTGGTATTTTCTGTTTCAAGTAATGTTAGCAGGGTAATTTAATCCTAACTGATTGCTCTGTTCATAGCCAATTTGGTTTAAGAGGATATCCCAATGGTTATTCCTTTGTGAATCAAGAAATGGTTTGGAAATAAGAAGGACAGTCAGCCAGAGACAGCTTGTTCCCATAGAAGCTCATAGAAAGGGGTTTAGAATTAATTAGATATTATTTGTATAATGTGGTTCATTGTATTAGTTTTTTCCCATCTTCATGTCATAGTTTATTGAAATTAAAGTATGAATATAACCAATTTTTGTACGTTAAAGTGGATAGGATTTTAAACTGACTTTGTAAAACAATTTAATCTCTCATAATTGTTGTCATATGCATATTGGGTTTAAGCCACTGTTTAATCTCTTGTAATTGATTGTGTGATTTGTATTGAGCTTGGACACATTTAGGCCTGCCACTATACAACCATGTTACCTGGAGTTCCTAAACTCCAATATTGAGGCAATGTTACTCGAATTTGATCCATTCGCTTGAAATCCATGCGGACTAACTCCATTTGGCCCACTTGTTCTTATCTTTATTGTGATCAAGGCCAGTAGTTGTCAACATTAAATAACAAATAATTTTTATTCTCCAAACCTTTGTGATGGATGATTTTTTCCTGTTAATTGGTTAAAGTTACGTGAAAACTAGAATTACATAAATGGCAATCCCTTTAACGCCACTCTATCCAATTATATATTTATGTAATCCCTGTCCTTTTGCATGACCTCAAACTTAGGAAAATAATTTGTGAACATCTGTAGTTTGCTTTAGTGGAGTGCAATCTTTTGAAATAAATTGAGACGTGCCATCCACAAATAAATCCCATGGCCCTCACATTAATATCAAAACTAGTGTGAAAAATACTCGGAAAATACATGACTAGTATAGAAAACACTTTGAACATTTGAAGTTTGCTTTAGGCGCGTTTATAATAAAATTATCTTAGCTATGGATACGGTTCCCGTAACGTAGTTGTGATACATAATTTCCAAATCCGGGGGTACATTTATGTGACCCGGCCACAACTTGTAATAACATTAATAAATTAAACATGTTGTAGATCGTGGGTACGGTTCCCGTGATACGATTCACAATGTGTATCAAACAAACAAGTGTATGACAATCGTAACTTGTTCTAGAATAATTCCATAAATAGTTAAGAGCGGTCAAAAGTTAAAATGCACACTAAGTTTAAAACATGTAGTAAATCAGATAAATAGGCCAATATTAATAGTTAAGCGACCGTGCTCGAACCACGAAAGCCGGGAATGCCTAACACCTTCTTCCGGGTTAACAAAATTCTTTACTTAGAATTTCTGATTTTGCAGACTTTTAAATAACGTTGGTTTTTCCTCGATTTGGGATTTTAAAAATAAACCGGTGACTTGGGACACCATAATAAATATTCCAAGTTGCGAGTCTAAAAAATAAATAAAATAATTCCATTTCGATTTATGTCACTTTAATTGGAAAAACTCCCTTATATCCCTCTCAGGTGTAAAAAGGAGATGTGACACTGGATATGATACTATTATATTTTACTCTTGAGGTCCTATCGATTCTTACGAACTCAATAGGTGATTAGCTTATGCTTCCGATTCAGACTCCTCTCTCGATTAAGTCTAAATCTTTCAAATAAACTAATGTGAGGTGCGGTGAAACTTGCAAGAATATATTGGTAAGAATGATCTAAGAGAAACTTCTCTAGAATATTTCTCAATCTTAATTTAAGGGGTAGATCACAGAGCTCTTTCGATTACTTTAAAGAAGTACCAAAATAAATTAAGGCATGCGTTGCAATACTATTCAATATTATACTCATCTTCCGATTAAACAAGATAATGAATAAAATCACGATTAGAGTTAAAGCTCTTCCAATAGATGCACGCAATTAAATAGTAATCAACTCCAAAAACAACAACCAAATCACCAAATAATGTCAAACCTTAAGGTAAAGTACTCCATAAATATGGAGAAAGTCCTCACAAATAAGTTTAAGAACATAGAAAATACTAATCCAATGTTACAATCCAAACTCGCGTATTGAATTGATGGAAGGATGATGAAATCTTGTGTCTTGAAGCCTCCAATGCTCTCCCAAAGCTTCCAAGGTCAAAAGTCCCTTCAAAAACGTCTTTTTGGTGCATTTATACCATGTAGAAGTGGGCCCAGGTGACATTACCTTTTTCTAGTCGAAACAGGACAAATACTTTGAGAAAATTACACAGACGCACCATGCCTCGCGCCGCCCCATGCGGGGCACTTGTAGGGAAGTTTAGAGAGCAAGTTCTGACAAACATCAGCAAAATGTACTCTCGTGCTGCCCCATGCACCGCCCATACAGCGCGACAATGCAAGTTTTCTAGAGTGTTCCCGTTTTGCCGATTTTTGATATCTAGACTCGACTCCCGACCCCTGAACGTGATCCTGGTTTAATCTCTTGGGTTTTACTCAAACTTCAAAGCTCCAACTTATTCAATTTAGCTCCTGAATATCTTTTTAACTCGAAATCACTTCCTATAAGGTATAAAACATGTAATAAGTGCAATACACTAACATTCAAGCTCAAGCACAAGTAAAATGTAATAATTAGAGCGCAAACTACGACTAGAACACGTGATTCTAGCCTTATATCAATACTCCACACTTAACCCATTGCTCGTCTTCGAGCAATCAAACTGCACTTCATATAGATATGGCCTTCTTATCAGACAACTTCCCAAATGCATCACGCCAAGAATATTTAAAATAGACTAAGCACCCTATCATAACATCCTAGCCTCAAGACTCAAATCGAAAGCACCATGCCTTTTTCACAACATGTTCACTTACTCTAACACAGAGGTCAAAGATTTTACCTTACCTTCACAAATCATATGCCCTCACACAAACAATAGAGAGTAATTCCACACACAATAAATTCAAAAAAAATTGAGAACTCAAGATAGAAAGAGTTAAATCAATCTTAGAAACAGAATTCATGCGCCACAGAGAACGTACCATAGGCTTACCCATAGTGTAATACTCTACTAATTGAGCTTATTCAGTCAAGGATCGAGTAGGACTTAATTTGGTGGTAATGTAGGCTACAGGCCGGGTATGATACATTTGGATATAGTGACTACACCTCCCTAAACACTTTAATGCATATACATAAACAATTTAAACCCCACACTTATGTTGAACCAAACCCCAACCTTCATACATAATAGTATCAAGCTCCAAATTTTGTTAAGCACAAACAAGATGAGAAATAACACTAGCATGGAATCCATTTTTTTCTTTTCTTCTTCCCTTTTTTCAATCAAACTCTTTTTTTTCAATTCTCTATAAGTGGATCTAACAATTTTTCAAAACAATGCACCTTTCCCCTTTTTCTATAGTTCCACTCAAAATCCGACCATACATCCACTTAGCATTCAAAAGCTCATACAAATTCAAGTGCTTATGAGAGGTAAAAGGTTCAAACACATAGACAATTCGAATGAGAGGTTAAGCTTGTACTGTGGTTTCCAAATAAATAAGACTACAGGCTCAACTGGGCTAACTAAGACATACATTAATTTGGTGGGGAAAATCATATATCTGAATTCAACAAAGAAATGCCTATATCACTTCCTAGACTGGACAAGACTACTACTTCGCTTTGCAAATATACGGGGCAAGTTCTAGACATCAACTGGCATGCACAGAATATCACAAAACCTCATACACACATTGGCACATAACTCACTTAAGATCATCTATCCCGACTCTCTAATCAAAGCAGTTAAGCAACGTTACAATCATAAAATTTAAGGTACTTACTTAGGATTCAAGAATTGCATCTAAGCGTCACAACTAAGGCACTCACTACAATCAAGGAACAACAACATAAAAAAAGTCATCTCCTTTTAACACCTAGCACAAGACTTCACTACTCCTACTAAAAGAAAAACTACTACACCCAGTTCAACAAAAATCCTTGAAAAACAACCGCGACACAGAGAAAAACCAAGGGGAAATTTTTACACGACCTAAGAAAACAAAATATTTTTTCTTCAACTTTGATCCCTCAAGAAGACAGTCGAGGAAATCCATCGTCGGGAAAAGTCAAAAATTATTTTCCAAAAAAATCAAAAAAATGATTACAAACACACATATACATATATACATTCCCCCACCCCACACTTTAAATTGTGGCTTGTCCTCATGACACATAAATAAAAAGCAAGAGGTATAGAAAATTTCCTAATTCATCTAGTCTGGGTCTGAATCGAATTCGAGATCTCTTTTGCACTCCCAACCAATGCATATATCCACGCTGAGAGCTTCTTTTCCGACTTATTTGGGTATACCCCTGTATATGGCTAAAATCAGAGAGTCCAATTTTGTGATCATATGGCTTTTCACAGCTCGTCTTCAGAACCCTCGAAGCATAGCTCGAGGTTCAACCCCGAGGGTTCCCAATTCTCGACCTCAAGGTAGCGCAAATCGGTGGCTATCTTAGACAAGCGGAAAATTCCCAAAATCACATGGTTGAAGCTGACCGGGTCAAATAATAGTGCAAGCCCGTACAGTGACATTATATAGCTGTACCAGCTATTTATCTTTGTAATAAATGTATATGTACTATGTTAGGATTCCTCCTCGTATATAAAGGGGACCTTTGTCATTTTGTAAAGGCGCATGATATTCAATACAATAACAAGAACATTCTCTACTCTCTAACTTAAACATTCTTCATTGTCTTTCCTTTGATTTATTGCTTACATTTATTGTGTTTCATTAATTATTCTTCATTTATTATTCATCATTGATCATAAAGAGCCATTATTGAGGCCTTTGGAGCTGTTAGTCCTCTATCGATCGTCTCCGATCGAGCTCATTAGCTCAACCTCGAGGCCCAGCTTAAGCCAACTCGAGATCCCGATTAATGATCATTTGGTTTGAATGACAATACTGCCTCTCACTCTTATTTCACTTTTCCCATCTCTTGCCTTACTTTCCTAGCTCACGTTTAGCATCTATTGCCTAACAACTATCATAAAAATAAATCACGTATTTTTAGAACCACAAAAGCAAATCTAATTGTAATTACCATTTTCAAGGTAAACAGTTTGACGCCCACCGTGGGGCTAAAAATAATAGTGATTGTTTTCTTACTAGTTTACTAAAAATACAAAGTTATTCTTCACACTCTTTCTTGTCCAAATTTTTTTGATTTCAGGTCAAAATGTCTAACTCAGTGAATGCACGTGAAAAAAACGGTCCTGAGGACCATGGGGAGAATGGTGTAGTTGTTCCAAGCGCCGGTGTACACTACGAAACCCTGAGGATGCACCAGAGCCAATTCCTATGAATGTGGTCTCATGTA